TCCTCCTCCTCCTCCTCCTCCTCCTCCTCTTCCTCCTCCTCCTCCTCCTCCTTCTCCTCCGCCTCCCGCGGGCGTCGGGCGTCGGGCACGCCCCCGGCCCGCATCGTCACGGTCCTCACCGACTGGGCATCGCTCGGGACGTGTGCAGTTCTCATTCGGCGAGGACCATCTCACCACCCACCAAACCACCCCAACCCAACCCGAAGCCGTCAATTTGCCCTCCATTTCCAGTGGGGGGGGGGTCGGGGAACGTTGAAAAACACATGGAACCCGTACCCCCCCAACCCGAAATTGGTGTCAAAGTTGGGTCTTCGGGTTGGGTTGGGGTGGTTCGGTAGGTAGTCACCATCGAGGAGCATCCTTGAGCGTTTGGCGAAACAGCCACGCACGGAGCCTAGCAAAAAGCACAGGGAGTGGACGTCTGAGCGAGGGCCAGACGAGGCCTCGCCGCGCGGTGCGTCACCCGGGGCAGCGAGGCACGGGAGCCTGGTGCGCCCTCGCGGTTCTCTGTCCTCGGCGTCGAGGGGCGTCTGGGCGTCGACCAGGCGGCGCCGACGTAGTGTTGAGTCGGGCCTGTCCCTCTACAGGGGGGACATTCAAAAACAGCCAACATATAGTCAGGGGACTATCTTTTTAGTATCTGTGAGGATGTTTGGAGTATTTTCAGGATTTGTTTTCATTTTTTGTCCGAAATCCCCCTGTAGGGGGACAGGCCCGACCTAAGTGTAGCGTCGATGAGCGTCGATTCAGCGTCGATTAGGGTCGATTCGCAAGAGCCGACAAGATGGTATGAGAGGCTCCCATGAGGTACCACCGAACGACACTGCTGCTTGTCCTGGGCGGCTCTCGTCGCCACGGCTGGATTTTCTTAGACGTGGTGGTCAGAGTGAACCCTGGGAGAGGTCTGGGGAGTCGCGGTATCGGTGCCCTTCGGCCTCCCCCATTTCACAAGGCGGGGAGGCCTTCTTAGGAGGCAGGGGCTTTCTCAGAAGGGTACGGGGGCTTCTATCGAGGAACACAAAACGGCATCATCATGAGTTCTCCGAGCTCTGCGTAAGTTTGTTGTATCTGCACTGGGCCCCCCCTGGCGGCGCCTCCTGCGCCGCCCCTTGCGCGCTCTGCGCACCAGGGAGGGGTCTCATACGCCGATCGAAGAAATCCGCCCAGACCGCCGAAATTGTCATGTTTAATTTGTTTTGGTCTCCTTTGACCTATGAGTCGACGGTGAGCGAGGGGGGGAAGTGAAAAGGAGACAGCCTTCTCAGAAGGCGGCGGGGCTTCTCAGAAGGGCTCCAGCCTTCTGGGAGGTGTTCTGTGCCTTCGGAAGGCTGAGGAACTTCCGAGCCTTCTCAGGATCTCAGGAGGCTGGCTCCTTCTCATTCCCCCCGGGCGCGCCGCCGAAACAAGGCAGGGAACGCGAAGGCTTTTGCTTTCTTCATCCAGTTGCGTTGCCGCGCGTACTTGCCACCGCATTCCACCGCTCCCCACCTCCCCCCCGGCTCGCCGCCGAAAGAAGGCCTCCCAGAGGCCGGGGGGGGGGGCTTCTAAGGAGGCCCCCTGCCTTCTCAGGAGCTCCCGCGCCTCCTTGGGAGGCCGCCCCTCGCACGCCCACCCCCCCCAGGCTATCACGCGCGTTATGCCCCCCCTCCCCATCCTCCCCCGCCTCCCATAACGCGCGCTGTGCCCCCCCCCTCCCCCCCTTGAGCGTGTTTTTCAAGCCTCTGGGCCGTAACGCGTGTTATGCGCCCCCCCCACCCCTCCACTGGGTCCACATCCCCTCTCCCCGTATATCGCGCGTTACGCCCCCCTTGAGGGTGATTTTGAAGCCTCTGCGGACATATCGCGCGTTATGCCCCTCCCCCCATCCTCCCCCCCCAAAGCGTAACGCTCGTCCCCCCCCCCCACACACGTAGTTCGAGGAGGGGACCGACTACAGATGTGATGTCAGCAATAATGGATCTTCTCGTCGAACCCATGAGACAAATACGTAGAATAGTCAGTACAGTCGGGGCCCTGAAGAAGGAACCCTTTTCATTGGGGAGGGGCTCCGTGTTCCTTCATCGTTTCGCAGCTTGCCTTAGGTTCCCCTTATGTCTTCGATACGAAATCGAAGTTTAACTTAAAAAAGGGGCCTCGTTCCTTATTTAGGGTTCCTTAGGTCAACGCCCCGACTGTACGAAACATGGTGTAGATCCGACGGGAAATCAATTTTGCCTGCAGGCTACGTTTCACGTCCGTCGTGGTGCCCGAGGGCCTCGCAGGGTCTGTGGACGCCTCCAGAGGCCACCCAGGGCTGTCCTGAGGCCTCGGGAGTTCTCTCCAGGCCTTCGTCGTCGTTGTTGTCGTCGCCGATGTTGTCGTCGCCGTCGTTGTTGCCGTCGTCGACGTCGGTCGGTCGGTCGGTCGTCGTCGTCGTCGTCGTCGTTAAAGTTGTCGTCAAAGTTACCATCGTCTTTGTCGTCGTCGTCGTCGTCGTCGTTGTCGTGCTTGCCGTCGTCGTCGTCAAAGTTGTCGTCGTCGTGGTTGTCATCGTCGTCGTCGTCGTAGTCGTCAAAGTTGTCGTTGTCGTCGTCGTCGTCGTCGTCGTCGTCGTCGTCGTCGTCGTTGCCGTCGTCGTTGTTGTCTTCGTCGTCGTTTTAGTCATCGTCGTCGTTGTCCTCGCCCTCCTCGTCCTCGTTCCTGTCGTCGTCGTCGTTGTCCTCGCCCTCGTCGTTGCCGTCGCCCTCGTCGTTGTCCTCGTCGTCGTCATCGCCGAGGGCCTCGAAGGGCCTCAAGGCGTCCCCAAAAGTCGTAGGTCTCAGGAAACCTCAAGAAACCTTCAGAGGCGACCGTCGTCGTCGTCGTCGTCGTCGTCGTCGTCTTCGTCGTCTCCCTCCTTGTCCTCGCCCTCGTCGTCGTGGTTGTCATCGTCGTCGTCGTCGTCGTCGTCGTCGTAGTCGTTAAAGTTGTCGTCGTCGTCGTCGTCGTCGTCGTCGTCGTCGTCGTCGTCGTCGTCGTCGTCGTCGTCGTCGTCGTCGTTGCCGTCGTCGTTGTTGTCTTCGTCGTCGTTTTAGTCATCGTCGTCGTTGTCCTCGCCCTCCTCGTCCTCGTTCCTGTCGTCGTCGTCGTTGTCCTCGCCCTCGTCGTTGCCGTCGCCCCCGTCGTCGTCCTCGTCGTCGTCATCGCCGAGGGCCTCGAAGGGCCTCAAGACGTCCCCAAAAGTCGTAGGTCTCCGGAAACCTCAAGAAACCTTCAGAGGCGACCGTCGTCGTCGTCGTCGTCCTCGTCCTCGTCCTCGTCCTCGTTCTCGTCGTTGTCGTCGTCGTCGTCGCCGAGGGCCTCGGAGGGCGTCAGAGGTCTCTGGAGACATCTCTAGGCCTTCAGAGACCTCCAGAGCGCTTCAGCGGCGGTCGTTGTCGTCGTCGTCGTCGTCACACTCGTACTCGTACTCGTCGTCGTCGTTGTCGTCGTCGTCGCCGTCGTCGTCGCCACCGTCGTCGTCGTCGTCGTCGTCGTCGTCGTCGTCGTCGTCGTCGTCGTCGTTTTAGTCGTCGTTTTAGTCGTCGGTTTAGTCGTCGGTTTAGTCGTCGGTG